CTTGGGCCTATTATAGTAGCATGTATACAACGGCGGTCAACCATGACAAATTCATCCGAGAGTTGGATATCGGGGGTTGGGTATATTACAGTACAGTGTCGAGTGAGGATGGAAGATGAGTGCCGAAAGAGATGTTGTAGCAGGGTGATGTAATTAGGAGAAAATTTAGGACTGGCTTCAGATAAATGTGTGACTTTTTGGATTGTGAACATATCGAGACCAAGTTCTCAAGAACATATATATATATATATATAACAAACACTAATTATGTCTGTGGGTAGTCAACCTTCAAAATGCTACATCAATTTAAGGTGGCAATCTGCAAGTGAGACTTATTCATGCTGGCACAATTCCATGAAATGAATTTCGTTCAGCGAGAGCTTTGTCGAGCAAGCTATTGCTGTGGGTATTGTAATGTCTCAGAGTAAGAAGTCGTTAAGATTTACGTCTCTTTCTGTTGCTGGGTTTAGTGTTCAATGTAGGTCGCACATCTATAGCAATCATGCTCGGACGAGGGCGTGGCACTAAAGGTGGAATTGCAGCATTCAAATTGTATGTAGGAGATAAACCTTTCTTCTCTATTGGATATAGTTGTTCTTGAATTACAGTTGTGCCCTTTTTTTCAGAATTTTTGACATGGACAATCAAGAAACCCACTTTTCATTGTTTTCTCCCTGAATTCTACAAGTCTTTTTTGGCTTTATCTTCATGACAATGTCCTTGACTTTAAACTGTTGTTTTTCTCTGAGGTTCTTATCATAGTTATATTTTTGTCGCTCTTGGTTTTTTTGTAAGTTTGTTTTTACATCTTGTTGGATTATTGGAAGGTAATGATTAGAATGTCAGATCCATGTTTTTGTAGGGTGCAATTTTATCTATGACAGGTTGAAGTCGCCGGTGGCTGGTAAGTTGGCTCGTCTAGCAAACATTATCTCAAAAGGTAATTTTCCTGTTAATGTTTGTTCGGCCGTATTGATAGCAAAAGTTACGAATAATAGCTATTCACCCCATTATTGGACGTCTTTTTTTTTCTGCGTAAATTGCCAGTGTTGTCTTAGTAGGGTTGTTCATTTGCTCTACCAAGCAGCCTGCTTGATGGTGCTCAACGCTTGTTATTGTTATGGTTATTCTCATTCATTGGCATACTATTCTCATTGCCTCTGAGACAAAGTCAGTTCCGTTGTCTGTGAGGAATCTTTTCAGTACCACGTATAGTAGAACTACTTTGAGAGTCAATACGTGAGCAATCTTATTCGAATCGAATCGAGGCAGAGCGGCTGTTATCACCCATCTGGTTAGGTATTTCGCTAGCACTAATAAATATTGGCTTCCTATTTTAGATTCTGGCAGAACTACAATATAGACGTCCTACAATCCTCCCAAAAAATGAACCTTAAAACTTTATAGGTTTCCAAGCTTGTATGTGAGTTGGTTGTAGTGAAAAAAAAACTCTGGGTATTTTTGTGCATATGTCTTTGTGTCAGTTACAATCGACAATCACTGAAGTATTTGGGACTATTGCTGTGTTAGTGTCTCAATATTGGGAAAGATAGATGCTTTGAAAGTGTTATTCAGTAAAGAGAATCAAAACAATATTGTTTATATCTGCTACTATTAAAATCCCTGTAATTCAAATCCCCGTTGTGTAATGCTTGGCTGGTTTACACTCTATAAGTGTGTAGTGTACGTATGCTTGGTATGTAACAGTTCCGGAGATTGTTAGACTGCTCGGTTCATTAGCAAGAAGGAACCAGTGTTTGGTCGTAGAGTCTGTTCTTCACCAAATTGTGATGACCATACCACGATCACTATCCATCCATGCTGCTGTGTTTTATTCAGTATTTCATCATGGCCAAAATGGCTAGCTGCTGGATGAGCGTGGATTGACGCAAGAAATAATTGGCGTATTGGGTGAGGGATCACGATAGCGAGTGCCCTGAGATTTTTACCGGACACGCCCCTTTTCCAGAAGAATTAGTTTTCCTTGAAAGTTTGGAGATGTTTGATCTCCGGATAGCACATTTGCTGCTCTCGTATCATATTCCTGCTTATAGTCCGGCTGTTTATTTGAGCGCTGCTCTGGTTGAGACTGGTAAAACATGCACAACCCAATGCATCTGCGTCTTTATTATAAGTACCTCTACAATGTACTACAGTAAACTTGTAGGTAATCACATTTGCTACTCAACAGGCTATTCTACCCCTTGGACTCTTGGTTGTGAGTATTGTCTTTAGTGTTGCATAATTCATGAATTCAGTCAAACTCGCTCTGTGGATATAACAATGGGGAAATCTTAATAGCCATACTACAGACAGACATTATCTTTCAGTTGTGCTATACTTCCTTCCGGCGAGTAAGAGAGAACAGCTAGCAAATACGACTGGGTGGGTCTCTTGAACCAATTCAGCTTCTGTGCCGGTGTCGCTGGCGCCGGTGTGTAGTTCATATGAAAAATTGGAGTCTGGATATTCGAGTTGCGGTAATTTTGTTAGTTTTTCTTTCGATATTTTGAAAGCATTGTTATTCTCGTCCCACGTCCAAACACCTTCTTTCTTTAACAATTGGTATTCTTGAATGGCTATCACAGAAATATTTGCAGAAAAAAAAAACGATGATAGAAGTTACAAATGTCTAAAAACATCTGTAGTTCCTAAATCGTAGTAGGCTTGGGCAAGTCTTGGAAGGATCTAGTCCGATACCATTGCCGGACACCTAATACCCGAAAGACTCGGCTTCTGTGACTAATAAATGGCACTTCTTGATACTGATCTTGAGGTTTCATTTCACTAGTGTATTTAGAACCTTTGAGATGTGTACCATATATTCTGTTTCGGTTGCGTAATAAGTCAACTCATCGTCAATGCAAATGGTAGGGAAATCCAGCTAATAAAAGATTTGCTGCATGAGGCATTGTGAAATGGCTGGGCAGTTAGTAACGCCTAGTGGCATTACGAGGAATTCGAAAAGACTCTTCTCCGTGGAAGATGTAGTATTACATATGTCGCCTGGACTCATGGGAATCTGCCAATAACCGGACTTGAGATCTAGTGTCAAGAAATATTTGGCATAAATCAACTTGTGTAATAGATCATCGATGTGTGGTAAGGGAAACTAGTCTTTGCGGGTCACATCATTTAGTGTTTTATAATTGATGCAGCATCGTAAAGTATTGCCTGGCTTTGGTACCAATATCAGCGGGGAGCTCCATAAACTATTACTTGGCCGAATAACCCCTTTCACCAACATCATCTCCATTTCTGTGCTCAGGGCTCAGGGCTCAGTTCTCGGCTGTTTACCGCCTGTACTGCGGGGAATTAATAGGAAGACTACTACCAGATAGATACTGACTACACACTAGTGCATCTGTGATGGCTTGTTCTGGGCTACCATCGTACAGCTCAGGGTATTTTTTTGCAATGCACTTGGTTTTCAGGGAAGAGTAAGAATCGTGTTAGTACTGTTGCTACTGACTGAGCTTCCGTCTTTTCTCGTATCTAGAACCTTATTTACAGTGTCGAGTACCTTTCCATGCTGCTTTGGTTTTTTTGGTATTGAGGAACTAGTCCTGATATTTATTGTGTGTTAAGAAAGAAATACAAATGTTTTTGGAGTTTTCTGAGGGGCTTTAAGATTTAGAAATAAAAGCCCAAGGAAAGTGTATTTTAAATCCAAGTCAGAGAAGATGTGCGAAACAATGGTGTCTATTTTAGAATTAATCGAGGAGATGTGAAAAGACCGGATGTCGAAGATAAAGCTTCAGTGAGTGCACCACAGGGCCAAGATGCTGCTGCTAATAATTTGACATGGCCGAACATGGAAGACAGGTAGTGGGTGGTCAAGGATTTCCAGAGAGAAGATTGTGGGATGAATATCAAATGTCAATGGGGACAGTCCAAATTATTATTATTTTCAGGGTAGCTTCCCATACTGTCCACTCCTGTGGGCACTGGTAGAGGACACGAGAGAGAGTGTCTACCTCAGACAAGCAAATGGGACACTTTTTAGTGACAAATATGGTCGGAGCATGGTTGTATAGGGTGTACTGACACGACAAGGAGTTGAGTATAGAACGATAGCATATGTTGCGGGAGGTGTAATGGGAGTGGAAAGTCCCAAAATGAACGCCATTGTTTAGCTTACAAAGGGAGGAGTAAAACTAATAGCTTGCGATTTATTATCAAAGGATTAGCTAGCAGTTGCAACTCAGGGTGGTCATTGGGAGGCAATGTAGCGCGCCAAAGGAAAGGCGTGAGCTCAGTAGCTGTATTTTCTATATCCTGAAACAGCCTATCTATCAGACATGACGATTTAGGCCGTTGAACTTGCGTTTGGGAGGGGATAGCTTAGAGGCTCTAATCAAACATAAATGCACCAGAAGCATTAATGCGCTTCCAACCAGAGGTGTTAGGTGCAGAAGAAGCTGTGTAGGTTACACCATCCAGCAGCTTCAGAGAAAGACAAGTGGTGCAGCTCAAAGTGAGAAGAGAAAAGTTTCATGTGATAGAGTTCATAGCACACATGAGAGTGGAAAGTGCACCATTCTTTGTCCTTAAAGATGTGATTCGCAGTATTGCAACCAACAAATGAAGGCGAGGGTCCCCAAAGGACTTGTGTGGATCAAGAAAGTGCTTTATTCAAGGGGTGACAAAGGATGCCGATGTTTAGTTGTCAAGAATCGGTTGTAGCTATTGCATAGTCAGTACTTTCTGTTGAATCTGCGAGTCCAACACGCCTAAGCCTTTTTGCAGTTTCTGAAAACATAGAAGACAGGATCGCCATAGAGAGCATATTCCGCCGGAGGAAACGGCCTAAAATGGAACAGAGTTTGTCGAAGAACCTTTTGAGGACAGTTTTTATTCAAAGAGCATGCCAAACACAGGAGAGAATCAACGTGTTCACGACAGTAGCTCGACATATGACGGAGCGTAATCACTACAGGCGCATGCTACAAGACGATTTGACTGTATTCGGAAGTGAGGTACAGAATTGATCTCTTTGTGTGACAAATGATATCAATGGAAACCCTAAGTACGTGAGAGAAGCGGGATAAGTACGATCGTGTCATAAGGTAATAAGCTTTTGCCGTAGGTGTGTGCGCCACTCTGATAGTGAGGCACCGGACAAGGAAAAGGCTTGTGTCTTGTGTATGTTAATTCGTGCATTTGAAATTCTTAAGTATCCAGATGTCTGTGTAAAGTGCCAAGGTCAGAAGGTGACTTGGGAAATATGAGAGTGTCATCCGCATAAGCCAAGTATTTGACTGGTGGTGGTGAGGGCTGGTCAGTGTGGTCGTCGGTGGATAGACCAAATCCTGGAAGAGAGCTATCGGCGGCTAGTAGGCGGAGCAAAGGTTCGAAAACAAAGTGAACAGA